AGTTATATTTCACCGTATATTTGGGACATATACATTAAGAAAGATAAATCTCCTTATTTTCTGGCACATAAAAGATTTTTTTAAAAAGCTCCTCATATTCTCTTGAGTCTTGTTTTAATTTTGGGGTATATGTTTAATTTGGGGTATATGTTTAATTTGGGGTATATGTTTTAATTTTGGGGTATATGTTTAATTTGGGGGTGTATGTTTAATTTGGGGGTACATGTTTAATTTGGGGGTATATGTTTAATTTGGGGGTATATGTTTAATTTGGAGGTACATGTTTAATTTGGGGTATATGTTTAATTTTGGGTACATGTTTAATTTTGGGTACATGTTTAATTTGGGGGTATATGTTTAATTTTGGGGGTACATGTTTAATTTGGGGGTATATGTTTAATTTTGGGGGTACATGTTTAATTGGGGGGTACATGTTTAATTTGGGGTATATGTTTAATTTGGGGTATATGTTTAATTTGGGGGTACATGTCTAATTTTGGGTATATGTCTAATTTGGGGGTACATGTCTAAGTTTGGGGTACATGTTTAATTTGGGGGTACATGTTTAATTTTGGAGGTACATGTTTAATTTGGGGGTACATGTTTAATTTGGGGTACATGTTTAATTTCGGGGTATATGTCTAATTTTGGTGGTATATGTTTAATTTGGGGTACATGTTTAATTTTGGGGTACATGTTTAATTTGGGGGGGTATATGTTTAATTTGGGGTACATGTTTAATTTGGGGGTACATGTTTAATTTGGGGGGGTATATGTTTAATTTGGGGTACATGTTTAATTTGGGGTACATGTCTAATTTTGGGGTACATGTTTAATTTGGGGTACATGTCTAATTTTGGGGTGCATGTTTAATTTGGGGTACATGTTGATGTTGCCAGCACAACATCCCAGTCACACTCATTTCTTTCCATTGTAGTTCTTTACTATGGTGTCCAAGTTTTTTGACTTCTTCATAACAAACCAGCATCTGCGAACCCACATTTCTACCAAGTTCACAAGCTGGGATGCACTCACCATACCTGTATTTAAGAACTCATTGAGTGTGAACAAAGGAAATGAAGGACCAAAATGGCCTCTCAGCCTGAGCCTTCATTGGGTGGAGGCTTGTTTTAAATGTGGCTTTTATCTCTTGAATCTCCTTACCTATGGTAATATTTGGTTCTAATCTCTGCTAGCCTGGAGAAACTACCACTCCTTTTAATGAAGGTCAATCCTTCTGGATTCCATCCCTTTTAACCTTCATGAACAGTGCAAATGATGGTTAATGTGTTCAGCTACTAACCAGAATTTGAAAGTTTAAGTTTACCCATATGCAGCTGGGAAGCAAGCTTCTGAAAAATCACCCACTATAAATCCTATAGAGCACAGTTCTACTTTGACACACTTGGAATCCCCATGAACTGGAATCTACTCAATGGTACTGGTTAAGCTTAAAGCACAGCTGTCTTTCACTGTGTCCTCCTTCTCTTCATTATCTGCTGTTTCTCTTCTCCTAGATAATCTCATCAGCATGCAAACATGTTGTCTTACTTCCCACAGTAAGAGGAGAAAACTCCATCACCTTCCTTGAGCTCATATTTCCTTTTTACTTTTCTATTGTCTTTCACAGCAGACATTTTCTCAAGTTGTTCATGTTGCGATTTCCAACTTCTCACCTCCCATTCACTCTTCAAACTATGCTTACCCGGCTTCTCTCAGCATCCTTTCCAGTGAACCACTTTTCTCAAGGTCACCTTATCCTGTTGCAAAATCTAAAATGCCATATTTTATGTCCTCCTGTTACTTGACCTCTTGACCTCCCAGAATGACGCCCTCCTGATTAAAAACTCTTTTTTTCTTGATCATGTGACACTTTATCCCCTTTGCTCTTACCTTGGAGATCACTCCCCGTTTCTTGCATCTCTAAATGTTGGGTTCTTTCCTAGGTATCTTTCCTTTGTACATTATCATAGTTTAATCCCATTTGCATGCTTATGTATTCCAACATTAATATCTATAGCACAGATAATGATCCCTTGCTTGACTCATGCTCTATGATATACTTGATATTTCTGGTTAGACTGAATCATAATAAACATAACATGAAAACAAAGTCATAATTTTCTTCCCAGAGCCAGTTATTTCTGTAGTTTTTCCATCTCATTAAATGGCAGCAGTATCTGCCCAGTTACTTACACACCTCTACACTACATCACTTCACCCTTATCCAATACATCATCAAGTACAACAAAGTCTACCTCCAACAATAGATTTCACTGCCACCATGCTGGTCTAGGTGTCCATCATCCGTCCTCTGAACGACTGCAGCCACCTTCTCACTGATTTCCCAGCTTCCTCTACAAGTCATTTTCCACACAGCAGATGGAACACACGTTTTATATAATAAACCAAATTATTTCCTTCACAGCTTAAAAACACGTAGATCTTCCTCATTTCACTTAGAATAAATTCTAAGCTCTTCATCACACCTATAACCAAAACCAAACCCATTGTCACTGAGTCAATTCTGACTTACAGGGACCTTAGTGTGGTGCTGTAGGATAAGCATTGGACTGCTAGCCTCAAGGTCAATAGTTCAAACTCACAACACACTCCTTAGAAACTCCATACACGGTCACTGTGAGTCGGAACCAACCTGATGGCACTTAACGATGAACAATGACCATAGAACATCTAGAAGTGCTCCACGGGGTGTCTGAAGCTGAAATTTTAGGGACACTGACTGCTACATCTTTCTCCTATGGAGTGGCTAGTGGATGGAACGCTTGACTATTATGTTACCTTAGCACCTCCCATAAAGATTGTTGTTTTTGTTGGTAAGTGACATCGAGTCGGTTCCAACTCATAGTGCCCATGTATAGGGTTTCTGATGAATGACTGCTGAACTTGAACTGTCAACCTTGTGGTTCAAACCAACATTGCAATCCAGTGCATTAACCCATAGCACCACACCAGGACGACAAAAGGGCAACAGGGTCTTCATGGGCAGGGATTAAAGCCTAGGAAAACATGGGGCAGGTTTATTCTGTGTTAATGGGTTACTGTGAGCAGAACCGACTCCATGGAACACAACAACAAAAGGACACCAACCTCCTCATCATCATCCACACCCATGTCTCCTTATCTTACAGACAGAGTTATTTCAAAGTCTCAGTGAGCTTGTGAATGCATAAAAGGAAGCCCAGAGATGTATTGTGGGCAGAAACAAAGATAATGTAATTGTTCTGCAAGAAAAAAAGGGAGAATTCCATTTCTGCTCCTGGTCGAGAAGGAGAGAAAAGAGAAGAGTTAAGTGAGGGCTCAGGGATTTTTTGTAAAAAGGAGAATGACTACCATTATATTTTAGGTTGTTGATGTTGTTACAATGGAAACCCTTTGCATTCCTAAACCTTCAGCAATGTCTGAGCTGTTGATTATCGTAGATTAGAGTGAAACCACCAGAAAAGGAGTGATAAATTCACAAGGCCCATCTAGGAGACAAAGATTTTTCTCTCCTCATATAACTCTGTTTACACTCATGTGGCTTTATCTTGCCACAACTGATCTGTGCACATTACTGCAAAATGTCTTACTCATCTTTAAATTTGAAGAAATAACCATACTCATTCAGAATACACTACATAAGGCATGTGCCTTGGTACCTACCCTGTGTTCCTGGTAAACTCCTGAATCTCTCAACCACATTACTCCACCTTCCCACACCAGTTATATCTTGATTCTCTCTAAAAATAATTCTACCTCTTTACTGACAGTGCATTCCTTGTAAGACATTTCCTCTGACCCTGCATAACTGGACCTGCCTGCATGGATGTCAACCCTTCTTCATTTGAGCCTAGCTCACCAGCATGACTGAGGATGAACAGCATTTAACATAGTGCTTAATCCATAACAAGCCACTGCTCGTCTGTCTGTCTGTCATACTGTGATGGCTTGTGAGTTGCTGTGATTCTGAAAACTATGCCACCGGTATTTTAAATACCAGCAGGGTCACCCATGGTGGGCAGGTTTCAGATGAGCTTCCAGATGAAGACAGATGAGGAAGAGGGAGTGACGAACTACTTCTGAATATTTAGTCACTGAAAACCTTATGAATAGCAGAGAAACACTGTCAGAGATAGTGCTGCAAAATGAGCCCTTCAGGTTGGAAGGCACTCAAAATGCAACTGGGGAAGAGCTGCCTCCTCAGAGTGGAGTTGACAGTGATGACGCGAATGGAGTAAAGCCCATGGGAGGAAAGCCCGTGGAACCTTCATTTGCTGACGGGGCACAACTCAAAATGAAGAGATGGATTGGCAGAGTGGCAGCATCAATGGGCTCAAGCATGGTAACAATTATGAGATTGGCCCAGAATCAGGCAGTGTTTCCTTCTGTTGTACATAGGGTCACTATGAGTAGGTGCTGAATCGATGGCACCTAACAACAACAATAATAATCCATAACCAGAGATTCCAATGATTTGCATATTCAGTCAAAATTAAATCAATTCTTCAGAATACCTAATAAATTTACTGCTTAAATTTTGTTTTAATATACAAGTGTTTATAGTGTTTCTCAACCTTTCAACAAGACTCCACTGGCCAAGACTTTTGTCAAGCTTTGCTTTCTGTAAGAGAGCATAGGAATAGAGTGAATAATTTATTATATTTACTATTTTCTTTTTTAGAATATAAAATTATATTCTGAAATGCTATAATAGTAATGTGGTTTTTCAAACAATGCATCCTTTCCAACCCATCCTGGAGAGTGTACTATTCCTCTCACCACATGCCCACCTTCTGCTGACTGTGTAAGGCTTGGAAAAAAGGAAAAGTTCTTCCACACTGTTTAATGAAGAATCCCTGATTTAAACTTGGATAGTCATTTGGAAAGACTGTCTTTTTTCTTCTTAAGACCAAGAAAATAACCAGGAAAGATACAAATGCATTCAACCATTACATTAATTTAAAATGCCTTAAGAAAAGCTAAATAATCTGACCTACCCATCCAGAAGGGCGATTACGTTCTTCCTGGGCCGCCCAATATTCGGGCCGTACAAGCTGGCTCTGGAGTAAATCCGGATGGGCTGCAACAGGCTCTTCAGCTGGATGTAATCCTTTCCCAACTGGCTGCCATTGACTGCCCGGCCATGAATAGTTCGATAGTTATTTGGCTCTAGATTAAAAGCAGACATGTAAGTCAGAGTTGAGAAGGCTGAGGCTCTGCCAACCCTCTCTTATTCGCAGATCTCATTGCCTTTCTCTTAACAACATAAATAAAATAATCAAAAAAGGGGTGAGAGGTAATTCAACTTGAGGAACCACCCCAATAAAAAAGTCAACATTGCTATTCCATTCTTTAAACTGATCTTCACACAAGATCTACTAACTAAAAACTAAATAAACAAATGATCATACTGATTTGCAGGTAATAATTCATAATGAACAGTAAGAAGGGAAACCTTCATAAAAAATGGTCATTGTACTAGTTAGGAAAATCTTAATGTCTAGTATTAGCTAAGTTTTTGAGTGACATAATTTTGAAGCCCACCCCCGTCCTCAGTTTCCATTAACTGAGTGGCTGTAAACAGGCAGGGAAGTCATAAAACCAGGTAGCTCCACTGCCAGATGGTACTAAGTAGATTTGGACCAGGGTACAAGTCCTGGAGAAGGCCAACTTTCAGCTAGTTTGAGTTGTAATACTGAGAAGGGCAAGCAGTAGATCTGCAGAGCAACAATTAGTAGAAATAGATTATTTGGGGAATAAGGTAGCTTGTTGTTTCTGCTGCTAAATGTTATCAAGTAGGTTCGGACACAAAGTGACCCTGTCTAGGATTTCCAAGATCAACTGGTGGTTTGAACAGTTACCGGTCCAGTGGTTATCCTAAAGTGCCACATTAGGGTTTAAGATAGCCATAGTTGGCCTTAATAAGTTTCTTCATATGTCTGGTATTCTCAAAGGCTACATACATTCAACTAACAAAAAAAAGAGTGTGAGATAAACAGAAAACATATAACAAAATGTTCGCCCATGCATTCCTGGCCAAATAAGAAACCTAGGGCACTCATCAAGAGAAATAAGACATGTCAGAAAGTAAGGGTCAGTCTTGTAAACTTCCTAAATTTTGAATGTGTTTCCCAACTTACACATCCATCCATTAGCAGATGGCGAAAGCCTTACTGCCTCATGTATTTATGAACAACCCTTGACCAATCATAGGATGACCACTATGCTATGTAAACTCAGAGGCAACTCTTAAAAATCAAGGCTTAAAAACTGAAAGAAAAAAAGAAGTTTGCTTAAAGAAACATCAGTACTACGCAAATACAAGGGAGACAGACTCTCCAGAATTGGTTCAGACATGTCACTAAACAAAAAGAGGCAAGAAAGGGCGCAACAAAAACAAGCTCTGGGATGGGGAATCAGAATCCAGAGTTGCTCCAATAAAATACCTAAAATGTACAATTTTCACTTAAAAAAGCAAGAGACAAATAAATGGGAAACTATGACTCATACACAGGAAAAAAGCAGTCAATACAGACCACATCATTGGGGGTCCAGATGTCAAACTTAGCAAACAAGAACATCAAAACTGCTATTATAAACATGTCTGAAGAGCTAAAAAGAATAAGAATCAAAGGTAAGTATGACGTTTGTTGTTGTTATTATATGCCGTGGAGTAGGTTCTGACTTTATTTACTCATTAACTGGACAATAGCAATAAGGAGGTAAAAATTATGAAAAAGAATAAAATGGAAATTCTGAAACTGAAATGACTCACCACATACAAGGGAAACAGCTGTAATAACATTAACCACTGACTTTTCATCAGAAATGATGGTGGCCAGAAGACGGTGGGATAACATAGTCAAAGGGCTAGAAGAAAAAGCTGTCAACTAAGAATTCCATCTACAGCAAAGTATCCTTCAAGACTGAATGTAAAATACAGACATCTTCAGAAAAAAAAAACATACAAGAGAGAATTCATTCTGAGAAAACTTAGCTTATAAAAAATACTTAAGGAAGATCTTCAGGCAGAAAGAAAATGATACCAGATGACAACTGAGAACTATATAGAGAAAAACAGAACACCAGTGATTGTAATTACATGGGTAACTGCAGATAATATTACAAGTCTATGTGTACTTTCTTCTCTTAAAACTAAATTAAAACACAGTGGCATAAAGCAGTGATCACAAAATTGTTGTTGGGCTTACAAGATGTACCATTTATGGTAATAATGGCACAATGTAGAGGAAAATGAAAAAATAAAAGTTGCTATATTTAACTAGAATTAAGTTAGTGTTACCCCTATGTACACTGTGATGTTTGATGTATATTGTAATCCCTAAAGAAATTAAGAAAATAAGTGAAAACAAAACAACAAATGCATTCAAATGGTACTTTAGACACTATTTATTTTGCACAAAAAGTAAAGGAAAAACAAAAAGACACAAAATAAATAGAAAACTGACTGATGTAAATTCAACCAAATCAACAATTCATTACATGTGAAAGAATTAAAAACCCCATCTGAAGGCATAAATAGTCTGAATGAGAAAATAAGACTCAAATAAAAGGAAACACTTTGTAGTTAAAGACACATAGAGGGGAAACAGCTGTAATAATATTAACTACTGACTTTTCATCAGAAATTATGGTGGTCAGAAGTCAGTGAGATAACAGTTCAAGGGGCTAGAAGAAAAAGCCGTCAACTAATAATTCCATCTGTAGCAAAGTATATGTCAAAACTGAATGCAAAATATAGACATCTTCAGAAAAACATAGTAGCGAGAATTCATTCTGAGTAAACTTAGTTTACAAAAAATACTTAAAGGAAGTATTTGAAAGTTAAAAAAAAAAAGGGAAAAAAATCTACCATGCAAACAATAACCAGAGAGATGGAGTAGCTGAGAGATACTTCTTAGAGACAAAGTGAGGCATTTTACAATGATAGAAGACTCATTTCACCAAGAGTTATAAACAAGTGGGCATCTAACAACAGACCACCAAAATACATGAAACAAAACTGATGAAATTAAAGAAAGAAATAGGAAATTCAATAAAAATAGAAAACTTCAAAACTATGCTCTCAATAATGCATAGAATAACTAGACTGAAAATCATCAAGGACACTGAAGACTTACGTAACATTCTCAGCTAACTTGATATAATTGACATCTACAGAGCGTCCCACCCAACAATAGCAGAATACACCCAGTGCACGTGAAACATCTTTTACGGTAGTCTATGGAGCTCTGGTAGCGTTGTTGTTGTTGTCAGGTGCCATCAAATTGGAACCGACTCATGGCGACCGCATGTACAGCAGAACGAAACAATGTCCAATCCTGGGCCAACCTCACTACCGCCACACTTGAAGCCATCAATGATGCCACCTGGCGGATCCATCTCATTGGGAGTCTTCCTCTTTTTCTCTGACTCTCCACCTTACCCAGCATGACATCCTTCTCCAGCGACCGTTCCCTCCTGACAATATGTCCAAAGTATGAGAGACGAAGTTTACTCATCTTGGCCTCCAAGGAGCACTCTGGCTGCATATCTTCCAAATCAGATCTATTGGTTCTTTTGGCAGTCCATGGCACTTTTAGTATTCTCCTCCAATACCACAACTCAAAGGCATCAATTCTTCTATGATCTTCCTTATTCA